AAAAAAAAAAAAAAAAAAAAAATCCAATGCAAGGGTAAATTGAGAATATGCACCTAAATTTTAATCTTTTCCTCACCCTTCTGAAAAATCATTACATTCTGGTTGCCATGGTTTTAACAAAATATACTGACCATCAAAGGACCACATTTTCACTTCTAATATTCTATCCCTATTCTGCTCAGATTGAAATAAGAAGTGGAAATAATTATCTCCTAGGCTACGAGTAGTAAAAGGTTGCTTATAGTAATCCACAGGCTCCCTAATGTCGATTTTAGACCACTAAAGTTCATTTTTTCCCCCAAAAATTTTACCAATTAAACTAAGCTAGCATTCTTTCAAACTAGGAGCAATGCCATCCGTCGACAGCTGCAATCCTAATTCCTCCTTCTCAACAAGGTTAAATTTGGACAGCTTATAACAATATCTTGATCCATGGCTGACTCCATCAGAAATCCCCCTAAAAAACCCTAACAATCAAGAAGCCCTAAATGGCAGCAATAAATCCTAAAACAACAATACACACAATTAAAAGCACAATAAATGCGCACACAATCTCAAAAAATACAACAGTTAAAAGCATTCAGGCATATAAGGGCTAAATATCGCACACCCCGCTAACCACCGAACCCCAGAACACGAAAAAACAAAGAAATAAGAAGACGACTATGAGATAAAACTAAGAACACAAGATCGAAGATGAACAAAGATGGGATCTAGAACTACAAATCCTACAAGAGGAGCTTATCAAAAAGAGACATGAATTCTAGAGAGGGACTTGTACAATTTGTTAGATCAAGCATCCATAAATACTATTGTTATCCTTATTAAACCTTCATCGGGTAAACATTTTTTTTATCTTATTGTTATTTCATGTTTTACCAAAGGAAATCTTAGGTATTGCTTGGTTTGAGGGATTTGAAGGGGATGGGAGGGGAGGGGAGGGGATGAAGAATTTTAATTTTCACTTGTTTGGTTGCAAAATTATGTGGGAAGGGAGAGAAAAATTTTAAGCAATTTTCCCTCTCTCCCTCACTTTTTCTCCCCACCAAAATTGGAAGGATTTGGAGGGGAAGTGTTATATAATGATAGTAAATGACCATTTAGTCCCTACTTTCAATTGTTTTTAATTTTTTTTATCTTACTTCATTAAGGATAAGTTTGTCATTTTAATTTTATGTTCCCTTTTCTATTGTTTTTTAATCAAATAAAGTTACCGTTTTCCTTCTATTCCCCTCCTAAATTATCCCTCAAAAGAAGGAAAAGGAAAAATTATTTTACATCGCATTCTCTCCCTCCCTATCTCTCCGTTAAAATTCCTGCTCTCCCTTCCTCTCTGTTGTTGAACCAAACACACCCTTAATAAACCTGGCTTAGAGTAATTCTACCCTTTTTTCTGGGTTTTATTGTTATTTTCTGTTTTATCAATCTTGAAAAACCCTGGTAAAACCCTCGAGCAAAAATGGCATCACGCTCGGCCCGATCCTCACCGACGCGCCTTCTCTGCTCCCTATGCACAGCATCCGCCAGCCCCACGCGGGCATCCACGGCCGCTCTGCTGACCGGAAATTTCCACATCCGTAGTTTCTCCGCCGGGAGCGCCGCCGCCGCGCGGCTTAGGGAGGAGAAGGAGGCCTGGTGGAAAGAGTCCCTGCAGAAGCTTCGCAACATCGGGATTTCAGCTCACATAGATTCCGGCAAAACGACGCTCACGGAGCGGGTGCTGTACTACACGGGTCGGATCCACGAGATTCACGAGGTCAGAGGTAAAGATGGGGTAGGCGCGAAGATGGATTCCATGGATTTGGAGAGAGAGAAAGGGACTACCATACAGTCTGCTGCCACATACTGTAACTGGAAGGACTATCAGGTTCTACTCCTTTTCACATTCAGTTTTTTTACAACCCGCTCAAGTTCGTTTCTCGAGCGAAAAATGTCATGTTTTTTCTGTTTTCTAGACTTAGTATTTCGATGTTTTTGCTGTGGTATGTTATTTCATTAGACATCCATAGTCAAGTGATGTTTGATCTGAATTACGTGTGAATTATGCCAAGAATGTTGATTTATTTGACATCTATATTATGCTATGATAATTCGGACCAGTTTAGATAGGCTACAATTGATGTAACTTGTTTGGTCATCTATGATTTTACTTCTAAACCCCTGATTTAAGCATTGAATCCGTGACGTGGATTAGCCAAGCAGAGTAGTTTCTTCCTGGTTGAAGAAGTATTATTTTTCTCTGCTTTTCATTTCAATTGGTTCTGAGAAAGTAATAAAAAAATTATTTTAGCAATATAATGGAAAACAATGGTGTATCTGTTGGTTATTTACTGTATTAATTCAATTTCAGGTTAATATAATCGACACACCAGACCATGTCGATTTTACTATTGAAGTGGAGAGAGCTTTGCATGTACTTGATGGTGCCATTCTTGTCCTGTGTAGTGTTGGTGGTGTACAGAGTCAATCAATCACTGTTGACAGGCAAATGAGAAGATATGAGGTCCCAAGACTTGCTTTTATCAATAAGCTGGATAGAATGGGGGCCGATCCGTGGAGAGTTCTAAATCAGGTTAGGGCCATTAGGCAACCTTTTTTGTGAGTGTACCATAATCAAAACACTCGGACAATCACAACTGTGTGTGTGCGTGCGTGCACGTGTCTTTTAAAAGAAGGATCGTTATTTATAGAATATACATAGTATAATATAATCAGGTGAGACATTGTTCACAATGAAATATGAGTTATGTGATTCGACCTTATTCTTATCTTCTAGCATTCAGCATCCCATGTTGTTAATCACGACGAGTGTAGCATTCATCTTAGGCTTCATGTTTTCATATTGCATTCTGGAAATATATTGAGCAGACATATATAGAGCATAGAGCATGACGGTTGCTGCTTGAAATCGTTAATAACCCAGAGCTTACATGTTTTTTTTTTTTTTTTTTCTTTCTATAGGCGAGAGCTAAACTTCGACACCTCAGTGCTGCTGTGCAGATCCCAATTGGTTTGGAAGATGATTTCAAAGGTCTCATTGACCTGGTGAACATGAGAGCTAATTACTTTCATGGTTCGAGTGGGTCTGTATACTAGCCTATGGCTGATGCTTAGAGATCATGTCTGATTTGCTTCCTTTTTTTGTCATCAAAATTTTGTTTCTCTTCTTGGCAGTGAGAATGTTGTGATTGAGGATATTCCTGCTAATCTTGAAGAATTAGCTCAAGAAAAGAGACGTGAACTAATTGGAGCTGTCTCGAAGGTTGATGATAACCTTGCTGAAGCATTCCTTAGTGATGAACCTATATCAGCCGCCGAACTTGAGGTATGGAATTGTTATCCATCCCAGAAAAGCTAAAATGTGATTCCCCTAGTATGGTTATCTTTTCATCTACCTCAACATTAGCTTTAAACTACACTTTGAACCTTTGCTGGCTCATGTTTTTGTTCCACAGGAAGCTATCCGTAGAGCTACTGTAGCACGGAAATTTGTTCCCGTGTTCATGGGTAGTGCTTTCAAGAATAAGGTGGGTTCTTTCATTTTGGGCACGATTTTGTCTTGTAAGCTTGTTGCTGCAAGCTATTCCAGTGCACAACTCTTTGTTACTTTTGGACTAATCAGAACTGAATAGAACCACTCTTCTCAACCACAATTTGTCATAACATGAAATCTTATTTCCGTGAAAAATTTGTAAATTCCAACATTTTTCCCATTTCTAGGTTTCCAGCACTTTTTCTTTATGTTGAAGTTACAGTTCATTGTTACTGACTTTGTGAT